CTGAAGCACTCGGGCCCTTGCTTTCTGAATGGCTGCTCCATCCCTTTTGTATTTAGTTCATTATTGTCATCCCTTAAAACCTGCTCTGACAGACCACATTCTCTTAGTCCTCTCCTCCTCTGTGTTTTCCTCTTTGATGCACCTTGAATTTCATAATACTATCACAAACTGTATGATTTTTGGTATACTTGTTTATTATTTCTCTCCAACCAAATACTAAGCTCTCTGAAGGCATGGACCGTTTATATTTTTAACTGTTATATATTGATTCATTGGTAATAGTTTTGCCTCCCTTTTATTGTTACAGTGCCCAGTGTAGTTGTAGCTCAGTCTGAAAATGGATAACTAAACTGGAAGTATAGTAGGGTGATCCTGACCCTGATCTATTGGGTTTATTTCTGGAGATATTCCAATTTGGTTTCTGTAGCTTAACAAGAAGTATAATCCATTCGCTAAGACAACTGTGTTCTTCACATACTTCAGTTCCTTAAACTCGGGTGAAACATCTCAAGGAGACATTTAATTGTGTTTAGTACAGCATGGCAGATGGAAAGGACTTTGAACCAGAAGTTGGTTTGGATTTTTGTCCTAGCCCTGATTACTTCCAAAACAAATCCTAAGCCTCAGTTTTCCCACCTGTAAAATGAGAGATTTGAATGAGATGGTTTCCTAGGGTTCCTTCTGCTTTGATTACTGTGAAATCCCTGATTCTTATAGACATTGTGGGTTCCCACTGGAGAGAAACCTGGAAACTGCAACCTTTAAGGAAACAGATCCCTTCCCTAGTGATTTTGTGAATGATAGTGAGAACTCCTATAGATGACCTCAACAAGTGGAAAGAATGAATGATGAGTTCCTTGGAAATTCAGAACCCTGAAAGTTAAACTCTGACTGCCCCAACAGATTTTTATTTTATTGGAAACTATCCAAGGAGAGATATTTTATAGTCATCTGGCTTTGAACTTTTAATACCTTGTACTTCTCATTATTATGAATTAAAAAGGTGAATCAATTGAGAATATGTTGTCTCTACTTACAAGCTGTGCCCCCTGCCCCCAAGAATATTTCATTTGAATGCAAATTTGAATTACTTGGTCCCCAGAGAACTACCCTTACTGATAATATCAACCAACATAAGAGAAATAAGGCCAAATTACTACTTCCATTTTTAAGTATTGAAAAGCTGAGTCAGGAAGATTCTATGCAAGTGTATGATTTTAATGTGTATCATACGTTTTGATTCATTGGTAATAGTTTTGCCTCCCTTTTATTAATTATTCTTACTAAGGACTGATCTTTATGCAAATGCTAATTCCACTGATTCCCAAAACATTGTTTGGGTTGGGTGGTAGTTTCTCATGCTTATTCCAGGTGAAGAAACTGAGCCACTTACTGGTTTAAGTAACTCATTAAATTAAGGCCCAGTTACCAGTGATTGCCTTGGGTTCTGAACCAAATAAATGAGTAATGAGTTTTTCTTTGAGCCTACAGTGTAGCTAAACACATTTTCCAGCATTTTTAATGGTAGTGAAAAGATAATAGAAAATTAATGACACCAAATTCACAAGTCAAATTGTGTTCATTCTGTGTCCTTTTCTTAGATATCCTGCGTGTTTTCTTTTCATCAAGTCCTGTCAATAACTTTCTCTTTTAGGATGCTTCTCAGTATTTATTTTAAACATTTTTCAAGTGAATTCAAACCCTGAATTAAAATAATGAACAGTCGTATTTGGTATGATTACATAGTAATATTTTGCAAAGCACGACCTTTTTTGTGACTCAGACTCATTCAGATCTGTTGCTTTAAATATTTCAATAAAACAGGTTTTCCCCTCCTCCATTGAGGCCCATGTTCCTCCCCAATCTCTTTAATTATGTGAGCTAGAATCCTGTTTCTCACACATCTTCAGTTCTCAACCTTGTTAAAATTAATCATATAATCCCCCTTTAAAACATAGTATTAAATCACCATAGTAACACAGTATCCAAGCTTTATAGATAAAACATAACAGCCATAAGAAGGTAGCATTTGGTGTCCCCTTGACAGCTCTATAACTTTTATAGAAATGTGTTCCTTCTCCTGGCTGTATAAGGTGTAGTGATGGGATTACTTACACCAGTTTTATTACTACCTTGTTTTAAAATTGCCACCTTGTTTGTGTTCACTTTCCTAATTAAATAAGGACAGCGGAACACTTTCTGAATTATTTTCCCGTACTCTAACCACTCGCCAATGGATGCAGTTGTTTCCTTAAGTATAATTAGGCAGGGTCCTTGATCTTTGTACTGGGATATCTTGAAAATCCCTTTAATTTTCTTATGTAACTTGCATAAGGAAATTTTGGAAAGAAAGTCTACCCCATATTTGAAAACTTAATTCATATAATATCTAGAGACTCAATAATAATTCTGCCTTGGGAAGAGGTGTGGGGAAGCAATGGTTTTTCATTGCCACTAACAATTTGTAAAGTAAATTATAGGTGATAGCATCAATTTGAATATTTTACCAATTTGAGGGTTTTTTTGTAAAATACAATGTGATATATATGAGTTGATGAGTCCCTTTGAATAATTTCAATGTCAAATTCTAAAATATTATGTTACTGTAAATTTATGCATTAAAATTTGGAATGCTTACATTAAAAAAATGAGTCCAATGCAAGGTACCTCATAGACTGATTTTTAAATAGTGGATTTTAAAACACTTTGCAAATGGATGTGTAACTGATGTGATTCTGCAATCTGTATATGGGGTAAAAATGGGAGTTCATAACCCACTTGAATCAAAGTGTGAAATATGATATATCAAGAACTATGTAATGTTTTGAACAACCAACAATAAAAATTAAAAAAAAAAATAAAACACTTTTTAAAAAATAAAAAACTTTTTAAAAAGTTTCTGGACTAATCTAATTAGTAATATGCTTTAAAATTTTTATCTTCTATTGCTTGTAAGTGTTATTTGCTACTTTTTTGCTTTGCAGGAATTTTTTAGCTTTTTTCTTTAATGTCTTTGCTTCAAACATTGCTTCCATTTCTTAAAAAGCATTTTTCAATGCTTAAAATTTTGGTGTTTCTTTTTAATTTTTTTTTCATAAGCTCTATTATTATTATATTATTTGCATTACAATTCTTAATACACTTTTATATCACAGTTTATCATATCTCTGTATATAAGATATGTTGACACCAAATTCACATCTTCATGCATGTATTTTGTACAATGATGAGGGTCTCCTTCCACCATTCATGCAATTCCCCTTCTCCCTCCCATCCCTCTTCCTTATCTAAAGGTAATCTTTTCCCATGCTCTTCCTCCCTACCCCATTTTGAGTCACCCCCCTTATATCAGAGAAGACATTCGGTATTTGTTTTTTGGGGATTGGCTAACTTCCCTTAGCATAATCTGCTCTAATGTCATCCATTTCCCTGCTAATGCCATGATCTTATTATTTTTTAGTGCTGAGTAATATTCCATTGTGTATAAATGCCACATTTTTTTTAATCCATTTATCCATTGAAGGGCATCTAGATTGGCTCCAGAGTTTAGCTATTGTGAATTGTGCTGCTATAAACATTGATGTGGCTGTGTACCTGAAGTATGCTGTTTTTAGGTCCTTTGGGTATAGTCCGAGAAGAGGAATAGCTGGGTTAAATGGTGATTCCATTCCCAGCTTTTCAAGGAATCTCCATACTGCTTTCCAAATTGGCTGCACCAATTTGCAGTCCAACCAGCAATGTATGAGTGTATCTTTTTCCCTGGCATCCTTGCCAGCTTGTTGTTGTTTGTCTTCATAATGGCTTCCATTCTTACTGAAGTGAGATGGTATCTTAGAGTAGTTTTGATTTTCATTTCTCTGATTGCTAGAGACAATGAGTATTTTTTCGTATATTTGGGGTTTTTTAAAATATTTACTTTTTAGTTATAGATGGACACAATCTCTTTATTTTATTTTTATGTGGTGCTGAGGATCGAACCCAGAGCCTCACGCATGGTAGCCAATTGCTGTACCCCTGAGCCACAACCCCAGCCCCTCGTTTATTTGTTGATTGATTGTATATCCTCTTGTTTCCCAGGGTAAAAATTTGTTCTCCCTATTCACCTCACATATTATTTCTCTTGCTGAGAAAAATCTTTTCAGTTTGAATCCATCCCATTTGTTGATTTTTGGTTTTAATTCTTGTGCTATAGGCGTCTTATTAAAAAATTTTGGTGTTTCTGACCTATAAAAAATGAAATAAGTTTCTCATAAATTCAGAAATTATAAAAGAGGCATGAATTTAGGAAAGTAACACCTAACCCTGCCCTCTTTTCTTTTTAGTTTTAATGCCAGCTCCTCTTAGTAGCTGGCATTTTCAAGTTTGAACTTGATTCAGTTCCCTACCTGTTCTGCCTTTTAGTGTCCTTTTCTATAAAATGGGAATATCACTGAAATTCCAAGGTTGTTGTGAGGGTAAATGAGATGGTATATATTAAATATCTAACTATGGCCGCATATAGAAGTCACTTAAATTCTGCTGCTGCAGTCACTGTTAGTTTCTGAACTAAAGTTGTTAGGTAAGCATTGTTAACAGTTGATAGACTGGTAGAAAGTCACTGCCTAAGGTACCAGCTGGTAAGGGGCAAAAAGCTGGATTTTAAGCCTTGCTCTGAATCAGCTGGTACCTTAGGCAGTGACTTTCCCAGCTCTTTGTTCATCTGTAAAATGAAGTAGATAGAGTTCATGTTTTGGAATTGATGGCCTGAATGCTACTGGTACAAGAGTGCTGATGATTTTGATTTTGGGTGGTCACTAGACCAAACTGCTGTCTTTTTTTTTTTTTTTTTTTTTGAATTAGCTTACAGTCTATTCCCTTGAAATGTGTAAATTTTAAGTTCATTTATAAAATTTTCCAGTGAGAGAGGAAATGTTCTAGGTTCAGTGACTTGTTGTGATTAGATACTTTATCAAGAAACTTACTGCACGTTCATCTCTTCCTTTGTTCTGTCATTGCTGCAGCCTCACAGTTAGCCAAGTTGGCCAGAACTTCACATTTGTGCTCACTGACATTGACAGCAAACAGAGATTTGGATTCTGCCGCTTATCTTCAGGAGCCAAGAGCTGCTTCTGTATCTTAAGGTAAGAGAGAAAGGCTGCTTCTACATCTTAAGGTAATAGAGAAATGCTTTGACCATTGGTATTTCTGCAAAACAATGTCAGCTTTTGCGTTGTTCTTCTGTAATTAAGTTTTCCAGCTGTTCTTTTTATTTTCCTATCTGTTTCCTACAAGTCACTGCACTTTGGGAGAAGGACTTTGCAGTGTTTTTTGCACTTGGAGTTTTGCAGATAATTGCATTTATTTATTTGTATCACATCCCTTGGGTGGGAAGGGCCCATTGCTCCTGTGTAGCATGTGGAAGCTGGAGAGTCCGACTGACTTCAGTTTCTCCTGCTGTTATCTGGAGCTGTCAGAAATTAGCCTGTTAGGCTTTCCTGTGGACATTTTGTGTATGTAAGATTATTAATAAAGTATGCGTCTGCAGCTTGGGACGTCTTGCAGATATGGGTTGTGTCCTCCTCTAAGCAACACCCTTGCCCCCTTTGGGTCAACGAATGAATAACGTTTCCCAACTTGGCTACCTCTGTAGTGGTTTTTAAAAAGTACAGATTCCTGTGAGAAGGCTTCTTTAGGACTTCCGAAATTCCCTTCACACACCAGAGCTACACTTGCTTAATGCTCTGTTTCCTCCTGCCAAGGGGTTAGCATGTTCTGGGGTTAGAGGATGTGTGGAAATTTGATTTTTGAGCTGTTGGCTCTGTGGGCTCCTGCTGGGCGCCTCCTGAGGGGGAGGTAAAGGCATCCCACACACTCTCTTCTCCATCTGCCCTGGTTTAGTAGGTGTCAGAGGGGCCTGCCTCCTGTCTCTCTCTGCTCATGTGGAGCAGCCCAGGCTAGGCAGCAGGGAGGCGCCCATGACAAAATCCTGGCCCCAGGCTTGGCCTTGGCCCTGGGCCTGGGGATAAAAGGCCAGACCTCTATGGATTCCAGAAAGGGCAGTTCTTTGCTGTACTAGTCTCTGCACTTCCTTCATCTTCTCACCAAGAAAAGAACATCCCCCTTTCCTGTCCTCCAGACTCATACAACCACATGCCTTAGGACAAGAGGGGCTATCTTTTGAAGCTCCTTTGCTCACTGTCAATCTGGATTGCTGTGTGTTAGCATTTCTCTGTACCAATCTTATTATCATTCTTTATCAGTGAGGTCAACTCTTTTCTGCACCAAGCATAGCATTCATAATCTGGGCACTGGAGGCAAAGTGCTGGAAAGCCATCAGGAAGTAGGCAGAACCTGTGTGCAGCTGTTCTCAAGTCTGCCTTTGTCTTTGTAGCTCAGGCCCAGTGCTACCTGCCCAAAGGACTCAACTTGGGTGTCGATGATCATATACTTTGCAATTTGACAATAATGGTGATTTTTTTTTTCTTTTTAAAGAATTTTTCTCTTCCATTTTTGTCTGTTGTTTTCCAGCCTTGGCCAGGACACTCCTTTTATATGGTTCATATGAGGGAGATGAGGGCTTAACCTAATTTCTTGAAGTTTTGCAAAAGTGTTTTTCCCTCATAATATTTTGAGCTACAACGTTTGTTTCTTTCTAAATTGGAGTGTGTGTGTGTGTGTGTGTGTGTGCGCGCACTTGCGTGCATGATCACATTGACTCAGTGAATGTCTGAAGTGAAAAACTGTTCAAAAATTTAAATTTAATAGACTGAGAGTATAGCTCAATGGTAGTGTGTGCTGAGCACACATAAGGCCCTGTGTTCCATTCTCAGTACTACTAATAAACAAGCAAACAAATAAATAAAAAATAAAAATAAATTTAAAATTGCCCTCATCTGATTCGGGAGTTTGATTTTACGTGCCTATATTTTGGGTTGTAGAGTTGGTGTTTGTGAGAGGCCAGTTGAGCAGCCTTCATGCTATCATCATTTAGAATGAAAAATAGTAGCAATTGGTCCTGTTATACTCAGTTGGAACTATGGAGAAAAATTTGGTGGCTTAATTCATTTATTTGTTTGTCAACCCTTAACTGAATGCCTACTATTAGCTAGTTCCTGCCCTTGAGGAGTTCCCAGACTAGCAGGGGGATGGATGATGGCACAACAGCGTGCTATGTATAATATGTAGGATGATATCAAGACATAGTGCCTTTTTATTGTTGACTTTATAGTGCCAAAAAAAATAGTGATTGGCACTAGAAATAAAACATGAGTTTTGGAACATGCACTTTGTGTGTATTTAACATCATGGGGAAAATTTTTTCGTTTATTTAGCCATAGCCTGAGCCAAACACTTTCCCTGTTTGGTTTGGGAACATAGTTAAGTTCAGCTGTTGGTGGCTTGTCCAGTGGGGGAAGTACCGAGATCTGCCCAGAGACTGAGGGCACAGTTTGGGACTGGTGAGATTATTAGCTTTGTCTTTTGTTGTTTGGTCTCCCTGATTTCTTCAGATACTTTTTATTTTCTTAACCTGTGCCTCGAGAGCCAGTCACGCTTCACAATGTGCCCAGTGGCACAGCTCATGTCTGTGCATAAGCCACCTCTAGTTTGCTTTCCATTCTCTTCACGAGGGATAGCTCCCCGTAGTGGCGTGTATGCAGAATCTGCCTCTGCTTCCCCAAATTTAGCTTCTTGGACTTACTTATTCCCTGCCTGTTCTCCCAGGCTTATGTCTTCGTGTCCCCTATGAATCACTATATCTTCTCTGCCTTCACAGGTCTGCCCATTCTCTGAGAGCAATCTTCCCCAGTTAGAGACCATGGAATTCTCTCCTCTGGGCACACCCTACATGCTTTATGACCTCAGTTACACACTCATGCCGTCATCTTCCTGTGTCTTTTGTGTCTATTGGATAATCAGCTCTTTCTGTTAAAGACCATGTCTTAGTTCTGTATTTCTAGCACTTAGAGTAGTGTTTAACCAAGTGACTGTGTGCCTGATATTCAGAGAAAGGGAGATGCACAGAGAATGGAAGGACAGGGTGCTAAAGTCTCTGAATGAAAATATGGGCCTCAAGGGATATTTATTTCAAAGAGGAGAAATGAAATTTAGTTATTGGCAGAAGCATGGTTCATACCACCAAACTCATTTTATACTAGTTAGAAGAAGTGCACCTTTGAATTTTGCAGGGAGGTCCAGTGTTGAGTGGCAGACATCATGTCCATAAAGCATTAGGTTATTTGTAATATAATTTTGGGGGGAGGTACCGGGGATTGAACTCAGGAGTACTCGACCACTGAGCCACATTCTCAGCCCTATTTTGTATTTTACTTAGAGACAGGGTCTCACTGAGTTGCTTAGCACCTTGCTGCTGCTGAAGCTGACTTTGAACTTGAGATTGTTCTGTCTCAGCCTCCTGAGTCACTGGGATTACAGGCTTGTGCCACTGTGCCTTGCTTATATTATAAAATTTAAACTTAATTTCACAGTGAAAGGTTCTTTGACAAATTTTATACATGTAACTTATTTATTAGGTTTATTTTTATTTTCTGTCTCTCCCCACCAGAGTGCAAACTTTATAAAGGTTGAGAATTTTTATCTGTTTTTTTCCACAAATGTATCAAAGGTTATCAAAGAATATCTGGCCCATGGTAGGCACTGGATGAAGGAGTAAATCCCATTTATTTTAAACAAAAAACCTTGAAAGCAATGTAGTTGTATTAGAGTATAAACAAGTTGCATTAATACAAATACCAATAAAAGCCAAATGCATTTGGCTATGGTTTTTTTGGGATTGGCTAACTTCACTTAGCATTATCTTCTCTAACTCCATTCATTTACCTGAAAATACCATGATTTTATTCTCTTTTATTGCTGAGTAATATTCCATTGTGTGTATATATGCCACATTTAAAAAAAAATCCAACTACTTAAGGGCATCTAGATTAGTTCCATAGTTTAGCTATTGTGAATTGAGCTGCTATAAACATTGATGTGGCTGTGTCCCTGTAGTATGCTGTTCTTAAGTCCTTTGAGTATAGAATAGGAGAGGGATAGCTGGGTCAAATGGTAGTTCCATTCCCAATTTTCCAAGGAATCTCCATACTGCACCATTTTGCAGGGGATTGAACTCAGGGTACTCAACCAATTTGCAGTCTACCAGCACTGTATGAGTGTACCTTTTCCCCCACATCCTTGCCAACACTTATTGTTGTTTTTATTCATAATAGCTGCCATTTTGACTGGAATGAGATGAGATCTTAGAGTAGTTTTGATTTGCATTTCTTTAATTGCTAGTGATGATGAACTTTTTTTTTTTTTCATATTTTCTCTGATATAATGAGGCTGATTCATAGTGGGGTAGGGAGGGGGAGCATGGGAGGAATAGACAAAACTCTAGATAGGGCAGAGGAGTGGGAGGGAAGGGTGGGGCATGGGGTTAGAAATGATGGTGGAATGTGATGAACATCATTATCCAAAGTACATGTATGAAGACACGAATTGGTGTGACCAGAGATATGAAAAATTGTGCTCTATATGTGTAATAAGAATTGTAATGCATTCCACTGTCATATATAAATAAAAAATTAATTACAAAAAAATGAGAAAAAACAAGAGTCAAATGCATTATTTTCTGCCATGGTTGACTAGTTCCTGCCATTAAAGGATTTTTACTTCTCCTTGAGATTCACCATAATATTATTAATGAGTTGCTAGATGATAGTTAATACTAAATTAAAAACACCAACTAGGACAATAGTAGGTATGGGTAAGTTACTTGTTCTTCATGATAAGCCTAGGAAAGTGAGAGCATGTTAACATTTTCAGATGTTAGACACATTTAGCTCAGAAGTCTTTCAGTTAATAAAACAAAATGATTTACAATTGGAATTTTTTTCATGGCTTCCAATTTGCTCAAATGGCACATACTTCATCAAGGCCAAATCTGATATCTGAGATATCTAGCTATATGCTATTTCTAGCCAGTTTCTGGTTTGGGGTCAACAGAAGGAGCATAAGAGTTCAAAGTCATAAAGTTGTTGTTTGGGAGTTATGAAAGATGTGTCATACAATAATCAGATTTCTTTATAAAGAAACATTATATATAGTTGTATTCTACAATTTTCTCCATTATCCATATGGA